CTCTGTCACTTCTTGACAGTGGTAAGGTGGAAGGTACCTTTTGGGGCACAATGCTCTGAGCCTCAGATTCTAATCTCTGCAGTTATCTAAATGATTTCTAAAAAGAGAACAGTTAATTTAGAGGATGAGGAAGACAATGGGACTTGTTGATCCTACATCTTTCCACAACCTTAGCCACCATGCCATAAAGATTCAACATAATAGTAATTTCTGTCTTCTGAGCTCCTATTTTGTGGCAAGCCCTATGCTAGGTCCCTGAAATAGAATAATTCAAATAAAGTTTTTATTCTCATTTTACAGAAGAGGAAACTAGGGCACAGAGAGGGTAAATAAATTATCCAAGATCACACAGCTAGTTAGTAAATACCTGTCATGGGATCTGAACCCTTATTTCTTTAATGCTAAAACTATTATATTCTGGATGCTCATTGCAGCTAGTAAATTATATTGTCCGGTTCCACCTAACCGCCAGGGTTTACAGATGTGGCAACAACTTAAAAATTTTTCTGACTCAACTATTATAGTTAGAATTTACCTAAATTAGGTTTAGAATGATGGGGATGGGATACAGGAGCGAATTTGAACTACTTTACTATGTTTTTATCTTTGCCTCTGAGTAAGTAATAGTTTTTCTTATTCTCCAAAATTAAAAAAAAAAGAATATCTAGAAATTATAACTTAAACTAGAGACCTAGTGCATAAAAATTCATGCATTGGGGGCGGGGGGAGGGTGTCCATCAGACTGGCCTGCCCCCTCTCACAGTCCAGGAGCCCTCAGGGGATGTTCTACCAGTATTTCCCAAACTTTTGACATATGTGTACCCCTTCTATAATTTTTGTAACTCTAGTACCCTTCTACTCATGGAACATAGAATTAGGTGCAGCTAAGCACATTGCAGTGCATATCCCCACCAAACTTTGGTGCAACGCGTACCCCCACCAAACTCTTTCCCTACCCCTGGGGGTACGTGTACCACACTTTCGGAAACACTGAATAGTCTGGCCTCCCTCTTTGGGAGGTGACCCAGCCGACCAGGGGAAGGTGCCTCTCCCATCACCCAGCTGCTGCTGCCACTGCCAGCCCTCACAGCCACCACACCTGCCAGCCCTCAGCTCTTACAGCTGCTTTGGCTTTGTCTGGAAGGGTGTCTGGAAGAACATCTGGTCTATCCAGTCTAATTAGCATGTTACCCTTTTATTAGTATAGGTGATGAATATTGTAGGAATTATTTTAAACTTTGTATTATTTCAATCTTTGCTTTATGGAGTTGAGATATCAGAAGGGAGCCTCAAGTGAGGGCAATTAGTTTATGACAGCTGCCAGCCAGTGATCCGTAGGGTTACCTCATTGGATCTGGCTAACTTAACAGTGTCTCTTTTATTTTTTTCCTTGGGACTATGAGCCAGCCACTGAAGGTACTTGGTCTAGAGGTAAAGGTTAACCTTCCAAGGTAACCATACCTCATAAGGTTATTGTGAAGATTAAATGACTCAAAACAGAGCTTAGCACATAGCTCACATTAAATGTTAGTTATTATTAGTATCAGTATTACTATTGAGGTTCATTGTTTGTTTGGAGGTTTATGAGAGTTGTTTCTCCTGCAAGAATATTCTAATGTTACTTCTGGCCCAAAGAATCAAATTTCTTTTGATGAATACAGAGTTTTGATTATAAGGAAAGTCCAAACTGCATAATAATTAGTATAGCAAAAACCTGTCAGAATGGGAGTATTGAATACAGTCCATTAGATACATTAATGACAAAATTAATGGCAAATGTACTTCATGCTCACATTATCTTCTTGTGTAGGGAGATTCGGGTGGACCTTTGTCTTGTCGAAGAAAAAGTGATGGAAAATGGATTTTGACTGGCATTGTTAGCTGGGGACATGGATGCGGAAGACCAAATTTTCCTGGTGTTTACACGAGGGTGTCAAACTTTGTTTCCTGGATTCATAAATATGTACCTTCTCTTTTGTAATAGTACAAGTTGGATTTTTGATTGTAATTTATGTGATAAGTTATTTTAAAAAGAATGGAGTAATTATAAATAAAATAAGACAACCAATTTTTTTTCCTTAAACAAGCTTCAGATTGTATATATTTGTTACTCAAAAGCAGAGAGATGTATTTTATTTTCTAGTAAATTGCCTCAAGTATATAGTTATATTTATTCTCAGGCATCAAAGGACCATTGATTCAGACATGGAAGAAATATTAGATAATGGTTATGAGCTAAGACTCTAAAATAAGATATAATATAAAATGGGTAAGATTTTTGAGACAATGCATTTTTAATGTGCCTATTAAAGGTACAGCTATTCATAATGTTTTAGGCAAATATGACTTATTGAAATAAGAAATTCCATTAAAGAAACTTGCCTGATATTTACATGCTTTAATGAACTTAAATACACAAAAAATGTCTCCTTCACAGATGCTAATGTTTTGGTGATGTCACTTTGATGATAGCTTATTTCTTGGTTTACATAATAACCATTTGGGATATTATTTGCTCTTAAAGAAGATAAAAAAAGAAGAGCAAATATTACAACAAGAAAAGCAAAATTAAAAATCTTATATTGTTCAGCAAGTCTTGGCAACAAGTATACATTTTCTTATTTATTTATTTATTTATTTATTTATTTATTTATTTTTAAATTTACTTTTAGTGAGAGAGAGGGAGAGAGAGCAAAACATCAACCAACAGCCTCCTGAATGTCTCCTACTAGAGATTGGGCCTGCAACCTGGGTATGTGTCCTGACTGAGAATTGAACTAGAAACCTTTCAGTGCACAGGATGATACTCAACCAATTGAGCCACACTAATTTTATTTTTATTGTTGAAACTATTACCAATGTCCCCCATTTCACCCATCTTTGCCCACGTCCATGCAATCTCTACCCCCACTCCCCTGGCCTTCACCACACTGTTGTCTATGACAATAGGCTATGCATATATTATTTTTAGCTAACCTCTTCACCTTCTTTTATCCAGTCTTCCCCACCTATGACATTTGTCAGTCTGTACATATTCCAATGACTTCTATTGTGTTTGTCAGTTTATTTTATTCATTAGATTCAACATATTGGTGAGGTCCTATGGTATTTATCTTTCTCTGACTGACTTATTTCACTTAGTATCATAATCTCCAGGTCCCTCCATGCTGTTGCAAAGGGTAAGAGTTTCTTCTTTTTTATAGCTGTGTAGTATCCCATTGTGTAAAAATACTAAAGTTTTTACATCCACTCATATACTGATAAGCACTTGGGCTATTTCCATATATATATATATATATATATATATATATATATATATATATATTTTAATGCTAATAAAATTTTAAAATATTATTTTATTGATTTTTTTCTTTTCTCTTTTAATAGAGAGATAGAGGAAAGGAAAGGAAAGGAAAAGAGAGAGAGAGAGAGAGAGAGAGAGAGAGAGAGAGAGAGAGAAGAAAGAAACATTATTGTCTCTTGCATGCACCTCGAGAGGGGAAGGAACCCATAAGCTGAGTATTTGTCCTGACAGAACTGGCAACCTTTTGGTGCATGGAACAGTACTCAACCAACTGAGCCACAGCTGTTTTCAGATCTTGGCTATTGTAAATAAGGCTTCTATAAACACTAATTCATATGTTCTTTTGAATTAGTGTTTCAGGTGTCTTTGGGTATGTTCCCAGAAATGGAATTGCTGGGCCACAAGAGAGTTATATTTTTAAATTTTTGAGGAAACTCCATACTGTTTTCCACAGTGGCTGCACCATTTTGTATTTTCACCAATAGTGCACTATGGTTCACTTTTCTCTACATCCTCTCTAGCACTTGTTGTTTCTTGATTTCTTGATGGTAGATATTCTGGAAAGTATGAGGCGATACCTCATTATAATTTTAATTTGCATCTCTCTGATGATTAGTGACTGAGGAGCATTCTTTTCTTTTTGTTTTTTTGTTTTTTTAAGTGCATATTTTATTTTTAATAAATCTTTATTGTTCATATTATTACAAATGTTCATTCCCCCCCCCCCCATTGCTCCCCTCCACCAGGTTCCCACCCCACCCTCTGCCCTTCCCCCCCACTGTCCTCATCCATAGGTGCAGTTTTTGTTCACTCTTCCCACACCCCCCACTCCTCTTTTCCCCAAGATTAATTTCTTTTAATGAGAATTTGAGGTTAGTTGTGCTAACCCACAACCCCACACTTCATGGTTATTTAAGCATCACCTCTTAAATAAGGCGTATGAGGGAATGGCCCCTCTGATGACCCCACAGCAAATGCTGAAACCAGACACCAACCTCAGAGGTCCTGACAGCCAGACAGAAACAGTCTAAAATCTGGCCAAAGACTCTCCCCCAGGGAAATTTACCAAGAAAATGCAAGTGGGTGAACCAGCTCAGTGTTACCTGAGGTTCCCAGTCCTACTGGCTCCAACCCTCTGGAGCCGGAGAGGATGGATTTATATGGAAGGTTGGTCAGGCTCAGTTTTAAACAATGAGGTCACTACTAGAAATAGGAAGCCAGGGGGCAGAAACCCCTGCTGCAATCACATGCTGATCATCGTCCTCCCAGAGAGTGGGCTCCTACGGTTCTTTCCGTCCATGGAAGTGCTCAGCCAGCGCAGGGCAGGCCGGTGCGGCCACGGAGCCGCCTCCTGCCTCACTGCATGCCGAACCACTGCTCCTGGTCAGCCCACTGGGCCGCCTCACTGTCGCTGCCCCCCAGGTCCCCTTCTTCCCCACTCCCTTCCATGTCGTCCACATCCTCCTCCTGAGTGGCATCCGTGGGACTCTCCTCCTTCTCCATCTTCTGCATCCCCTCTAGAGACTTCTGGTCATTGGGGTCCAAACTTAGTGCTATACTATACTGGTCCATTGCTTCCTGATACTCATTGACAGCTACAAGGAAATCTCCTAGGATCCGATGTAGGACGCAGTCACTCTGGTTAGCTAGTGCGTTCCTCAGCAAAGCAATTCCATCTTCGTATTTCTGCTCTCTGCTAAGCAGTTCTGCTTTTTTTCACCACAGCCTTAATGTAATCCGGCCTTTGGTTCAGGGCTTTATCTAACAAAGTTTTGGCTTTTTCCTGTGTCACTGGGTCTTCGAGACAAACAGTGGCTAGAAGGGTAAGGGTTTGTGCATTCGCTCCTAGAGTTTTGTAAACGTTGTTAGCCATTACCATTGCTTCACGAATACTGTTTGAGGCTAAGTAACATTCAATGAGACCTTCGTAACAGTCTAAGCGACAAGGTGCAAGCCGTATCGTCTCCCGAAAGTGGATTATTGCTTCTTGGACTCGGCCCATGTTCCTGAGTGCTGCTCCCTTCAGCAGCAAAGCTTGAACGCTATTACTGTTCAGCTGAATGGCCTTTGCTCCTAAATAGAGGGCCCGAGAGTAGCGCTTGCTATAGAAGCTATGACACCCCGAGACCACCCAGGGTTCTGCATGCTGATCAGAAATATTGAAGAGTCGGCAGCCAAGATTCTCCACATCCTCCAGCCGCCCTTCTCGCGCCAGGAGGTAGCCATACACATCCATTCCTTTTATTAGATAAGGATCCAACATCTGTGCTTGTTCAAATTTGAGGACAGAGTTCTTATTGTCTCCAGCTCTGAAGTATAGATCAGCTAAGCTTCCCGGTAGATCCACATTATCTCGTAACAACGACTTTTTCTCTAGTGAACAGATGGTATTGATTGCTCTTGAGTTGTCACCAGTATGCACAAAAGCATATGCTTTGATCCACACAGAGAGCCAGTCCAAGTTAGGCACGGTCTGGATGACATTCATTGTCATTGATGCCACCTCTGCACCTTTTACAGATAGGGACAGCAAACCTAGAATGGCATCAAGGGCTAATGGGCACTGTCTCAGCACTTCCTTATAGCTGGTGACTGACGGGCGCTCCTGACCAGCCTTCTTATACAAGTTTGCCAGCATCATGTTTATTTTGGGAGTTCTTTGTCTTGAAGGGATCCCATCAAGGATAGCAATGGCATCTTTATCTTGTTTTAGCATTGTGTAACATTCAGCCATTTTGTATTTCACTTCAATTTCAGATGGAAGACACTGACTCTGTGGAGTGGATGTAGAATTGCCAGTTGAAGGTCGCACTTTTGAGGTTTTACTTAAGGCTTTCTTCTGCTGTAAAGCCATGGTATACTTGCTCACAGCATTCCGATATTCCTTATCATGAAAGAGCGAATCTGCATGATACACTAAAAGCTGGTACTTCTGAGATGGGGAGAATAACTCAGGGTTGTTAGTGCTCATGGTGAGCAACAGGCTGCTGAGGAGCCGCAGGTTGGAGTGCAGCCCCGCGGCCGCCATGTCCCGCACGTGGTCTATCACATTCATCCTGCCCGGTGGCGAGGCCGCGGGGAGCCAGGGCGGCGGCGCGAAAAGCCGTCGGAGCGCCTGAGAGGAGACTCCTGAGGAGCATTCTTTTCATATGCCTATTGGCCATCTGTATGTCCACTTTATTTTTTTTATTTTTGTTTTTAAAATATTTATTATTATTTTTTTAAAATAAATTTTTATTGTTCATATTATTACAAATGTTCCTACCCCCCCCTCCCCCCGCCACCATTGCTCTCCTCCACCAGGTTCCCACCCCACCCTCTGCCCTTTCCCCACTCCCCATTGTCCTCATCCATAGGTGCACAGTTTATGTTCAGTCTCTTCCCACATCCCCCTCTCCCCTTTTCCCCAAGAATCGTCAGTTCACTCCCCTTCCATACCTCTGATTCTATTATATTCAACAGTTAATATTGTTCATCAGATTTTTTTTTTAATTTCCTTGGTTTTTAGATTCACTTGTTGATAGTTACATATTTGTTGTTCATAATTTTTATTTTTATTTACTTTCTCTTCTGAAAGAACCCCCTTCAGCAATTCATATAATTCTGGTTTGGTGGTGATGAACTCCTTTAGCTTTTTTTTTTTTTTTTTTTTTTAATTAGTGAAGCTCTTTATCTGACCTTCAATTCTGAGTGATAGCTTTGCTGGGTAGATTATCTTTGGCTGTAGGTTCTTACTATTCATCACCTTGAATATTTCTTGCCATTCCCGTCTGGCCTGCATGGTTTCTGTTGAGAAATTAGCTGACAATTGTATAGGTGCTCCTTTATAGGTAACTACCTGCTTTGCTCTTGCTGCTTTTAATATTCTCTCTTTGTCTTTTGCTCTTGGAATTTTAATTATGATTTGTCTTGGTGTGGTCTTCTTTGGATTCCTTTTGTTTGGAGTTCTGTGCACTTCCTGGACTTGTAAGTCTAATACTTTCACCAGGTGGGGGATGTTTTCTGTCACTATTTCTTTCAGTATGTTTTCAATATCTTGCTCTCTCTCATCTTCTGGGACCCCCATAATTTTGATGTTGGTTCGCTTGAAGTTGCCCCAGAGGTTTCTTACATTATCTTCAATTTTCTGGATTCTCTTGCCTTCTAGCTTCTGTGGAGGAGTGTCTTCTGGCTCTTTATGTTCCAAATCTTTGACTTGATTCTTGCGATCTTCCATTCTGTTTTTAGGACTCTGTATAATAATTTTTATTTCAGACAATGTATTCATTATTTCTTGTTGATCCCTTATTATTTCTTGTTGATTTCTTATTAATTCTAGTTGATCCCTTTTCATATCCTCATAGGTCTTATCGATATTTTCTAGGAAATTCTTGAAAAACCTTATAAGCGTAGATTTGAACTCTATATCCAGTCACTTTTTGTCCATTTCTTTCGTTTGTGATCTATTTCGTAGTTGCATTTCGCAGCTACTGAAGGGGAGGGTTTCAGGGTGGAGCCTACAGCCTCACCTTATGTGGCTTATGTGTCTCAGGGTCCTTCAGTACTCTCTGCAAGTGCCTCTGAGAGAAAGGTGCCCTCGATTTTCGCCTGCCACCTAACAGACTAGTCTCTCCCCCAATGAGCCCGGAACTGGGGTTCAGTTCAGTTGGAAGTGGGGTTGGAGGTGGCATTCAGAGCAGTCCGGAGCCCCAGTCTCCTTCCCGCCAGGGCAATTTCAACCGTCTCTTCTCTGCGCACAATGTGCGTGCCTCCGGGACCTCCTTTCGCAGCTCCCTCGGGGTTCTGCCTTACAGCCCAGCTCCCTGTGGATGAGCCTGGGTCCCCGGGGTCTGGCCTAGAACTGGGATTCAGAGCAGTCAGAACTGGGGCCCAGCACAGTTGGAGCTTTTATCTCCTTCCCTCTAGGGAATGCCAACCAGCCACTCAGCCTCCCTCCTCTCCGGCTCTGTCCTCTCCGCGCGCCGCGTGTCTCCATACCTTAGGCTTTTGCAGCTCCTCCGTGCTTCCTTCTGGTTTTCTCCTTGTTTCTTGTTGTAGAATTTCCATTCGGTCGACTTTCCTGTAGTTCTGGGTAATGTCCATTTTATATTTTAGTTGTATTTTATTGAAATTGTTGTGTGCGGCTGCAGCTAGGTGTTTACCTCAGCAGCCATCTTGGATTCTCCTGTATGTCCACTTTAGAGAAGTGCCTATTTAGGTCCTTAGTCCATTTTCAAATTGAATTGTTTGTCTTCCTGGTGTTGAGTTATATATCATTTTTATATATTATGAAATTACCCTTTATCAGTTATATCATTGGCAAATATTCTCCCATATAGTAGGTTCTCTTTTGATTTTGTTGATATTTTCTTTTGCTGTGCAGAAGATTTTTAGTTGGATATAGTCCCATTGGTTAATTTTTAAAAATTTATTTATTGTCTTAAATTTTATGTATGTTTTACATATGTCTCCTGCTTGACCACCCCTCCCCCCAAGCCATTTCCACTCCAGGCAAGCCCCCACAGTCCCAGTGTCTGTGTCCATTGGTTAGGCTAATATACATGCATACAAGTCCTTTGGTTGTTCTCTAAACTCCCTTCCCCTGCCATTTGTCTTTGGATCTATTCTTGTTCATCAAATTATGTTGATCACTAGAGGCCTGGTGCACAAAATCCATGCATGGGTATTGTCCCTAGGCCTGGCCTGCAATCAGGGCCATCTTCCCCAGCTGCCCGCAAGCAGCCCCACCCTCCATAACCCACCCTCGGTTCCTCATTCACCATTGGGAGATTGGTGCCTGAAGGCTGGGGCAAGGGACCGAGAAGTTGGCTGTTCTCACCCACTTGCCGGTCCCACCTTGCCACGGGTGGCCATCAGGCAATCAGAGTCTGCCAACTGGGGGAAACGGACCAAGAGATGGTCAGTGTGCCTCATAGTGACTGGCCCAGCAGTCATTCTGGTCGTTCTGCTGTTAGGGTCAATTTGTATATTACCCTTTTATTATATAGGATTATTACATAGGAGAGAGGCCTGGTGCATGGTTGGGACTGGCTGTCCTGTCCTGAAGGGGGCCCGGGTCCAGGTCAGGGGACCCCGCTAAGTGGTGGGGGGCCGGCTGGGTGAGGGGCCATGGGATTTGCAGGCTGGATGGGGGTCCCTTGGGTGAGGGGCTGTGGGCAGTTTGCAGGCCAGCCATGTCCCTGGCTTTGTCAGCAAGGGCATCTGGAATGATGTCCAGAAGACATCCAGTCTATCTGGCCTAATTAGCTTATTACCCTTTTATTAGTATAGATTATATCCCACAAATGAGTGAGGTCATGTGATATTTATCTTTCTCTGGCTTATTTTGCTTAGCATAATGCTCTCCAGGTCTATTCATGCTGTTGCAAATGGTAAAAGTTCCTTCTTTTTTATAGTGATGAAGTATTCTATTATGTAGATATACCAGTTTTTAACCCACTCATCTGCTGATGGGTACATAGGTTATTTCCAAATCTTAGATATTGTAAATTGTCCTGCTATGAACATATGGCTGCATATATCCTTTCTGATTGGTGTTTCTGTTTTCTTGGGATATATTCCTAGAAGTGGGTAATCATTATTAGATCAAATGGGAGACCCATTTTTAGTTTTTTGAGGAAACTCCATACTGTTCTCCACAGTGGCTGCACCAGTCTGCATTCCCACCAGCAATGCATGAGGTTTCCTTTTTATTCACCTCCTTGCCAGCACTTGTCATTTGTTGATTTGTTGATGATAGCCATTCTGACAGGTGTGAGATGGTACCTTATTGTTGCATCTCCTGGATGATTAGTGATGTTGAGCATGTTTTCATATATCTCTGGGCCTTCTGTATGTCTTTTTTCAAAAAGTGTCTATTTAGGTCTTTTGCCCATTTTTTGATTGGGTTGTTTATCTTCCTTTTGTTGAGTTGAATGAATTCTCTATAAATTTTGGAGATTAAACCCTAATCTGAAATATTGGCAAATATGTTCTCCCATAAAGTGGGCCTTCTTGTTGTTTTGTTGATGGTTACTTTTGCTGTGCAGAAGCTTTTTATTTTGATGTAGTCCCATTTCTTTATTTCCTCCTTAGTCTCCATTGCCCTAGGGCTGTGTCTGTGAAGATATTGCTATTTTGCTGCCTATGGACTCTTGTAGAATTTTTATGGTTTTCCGTCTTACATTAAAGTCTGAGGTATTTCATTTAGCATAATACCCTCTAGGTTCATTTATGCTGTCTCAAATGATAAGATTTCATTCTTCTTTTGCCCAAGTAATCCTATATAATAAAAGTGTAGTATGCAAATTGTCCCCTTGACTGGGGCTTCCTCCAGGAGTGCCACCAGGGGATGGAGCTGGCTGGGGGAAGGAAGGGACACCCCGTCTGGCAGCCAGAAGCTGCTAGGGACCCTATCAGTGCATGTTTTTCATGCACTGGGCCTCTAGTATGTATACATGTGACTTTTTTATCCACTCGACTATTAAAGGGCACTCAATTTTCTTCCTTATTTTGGCTGTTGCAATAAACATATAGATGTGTATTTTTTTTAATTTAGTGTTTCAGGTTTCTTTGGATATATATCTAGACTTTCTACATTTTTATGATTTAATCTCTGTACGTTGTACATTTCTAGGAATTTATTAACTACTTCTAGGTTATCCAGTTTGTTGGCATGTAATTTTTTTGCAGTAGTAAATAGGATTTTTTAAAATTTCTGTGGAATCAGTTTTAATGTCTCTCTTGTCATTATTTAACTTCACTTATTTTTTTCTTACTCTTGCTAATGTTTTCTCAATTCTGTTTATATATATATATTTTTAAAATAACTCTTAAGTTTTGTTGAGTTTTCTCTATTTTTTCCCCCATTTTCTACTTTATTTCTGCTTTAATCTTTGTTACTTTCTTCCTTCTGCTAACTTTGGACTCAGTTTTTTTTCTTCTTTTCCTAGCTCCTTAAAAATTCAAGTTAGTTTTTTTATGCAAACTCTATCAAAATCCCCCAAATATTTTTAACAGAAATAGAAAATACAATTCCACAATTCAGATGAAACAAAAAAGACCATGAATAGCCAA